AAATAATATAGTATAAATATATATATATATATATATATATACATATATATGTATATCGTTATGTACATCCATACACTACTCAAAAGAAGTGCATAGTCCAAACGTCGCAAGAACATACCCCAATTATACAGATGGACGCTGGTAACTGCTCCATCTGGAAGATATCATCACTGGTCATGACATGCTTGCCATCCATCTCCACACTGGGCAAAGGCCTTGGTGAACTTCCCGTGGCTATGAGAATGTTAGCCGCTGTGATCTCATGAAACCCAACCTACAACACAGGATGTACCAAGGTAAGGTTAAAACCCTAAAACCCTAAACAGAGGATGTACCAACGTTAGCGTATGTGTGTGTGTATGTCATGCACCAACGGAAGCGTATGAGGATTTACCAACGGAAGCGTATGTGTGTGTGATGTTATAAAGTAAAAGAGAGTGTGTGTATGTGATGTTATAAAATAAGAGAATGTGTATGTGTGTGATGTTATAACGTAAGTATGTGTGTGTTGTGTGTTTGTGATGTAAAGTAAGAGAGAGTGTGTGTGTGTGTGATGTTATAAAGTAAGTATGTGTGTGTGGTGTGTGTGTGTGTATGTGATATATCAAAGTAAGCATGTGAGTCAGAATAAGCGTACGTGTGCATTGGAAGTAGGCGTACACCATCGATCAATCCAATAAATGTCTGTATATGTGTGTACGGATATATGTATGTGTGTACGGATATATATATATATATATGTATGTATGTGTGTGTGTGTGTGTACGTATGTATGTGCGTGTGGATGCACCTATGTATATATATATGCGAGTGTGTACGTATATACATGTGTGTACGGGTGTACTTCTGTACCTGCATATATGTGTGTACGTGTATATGTGTGGGTGTGGGTGTACCTATATACATGAGAGAGAGTGTGTGTGTGTGTGTTTGTTGTGTGCGTGTATATGTGTGGGTGTGGGCGTACCTATGTACATGTGTGTTTGTGTGTGTTGTGTGCGTGTATATGTGCGAGTGTGGGTGTAACGTATGTTCATGAGTGTGTGTGTGTGTGTGTGTGTCTGTGTTGTGTGCGTGTATATGTGTGGGTGTGGGCGCACCTATGTACATGAGTGTGTGTGTGTGCGTGTGTGTGCGTCTGTATTGTGTGCGTGTATATGTGTGGGTGTGGGTGTACCTATGAACATGTGTGTGTACGTGTGTATTTATGTGTCTGTGAATGAGTGGACGTGTCTGATTGCCGTGCGGCATTTATCACTGTTTAATAACTCTAGGCAACTAGAATGTTGGGTGGCAGTGATCGCGTACAATCCGTTCTATACACGTTAAGCCTGACGA